ATTAAAATACAAAGAGGCGGGAGGGGACCGGCGGTGCTGCACTCGGAGGGAGGGAGGGAAGGTGCCAGGTGCCAGCCCAGAAGGCCTCACAGGGAGCGGGGGTCTGCTGGGACCCCCACCCTCAGACTCGGGCACAGGGCAAGCAGTCCCCCAAAAGTGCTGACCAGCTCCGGGCCCGAGGCACGGGGACCCAGGCGGGTGGTGGGGACGTCCCAGTGGTCGGCTGGCTCCGGGAAAGGGCTGTGCAGCCCTGGGGGACTGCTGCCCTTCAACCCCGTGGAGCTCCTCAGAACACCCAGACCACATGCCCGAGGACGGGGTCTCTAGGGGTTCCCGGGGCCACCAGAAGCCCCAACTCGCCCCATAGAAGCCTCCCAAGCCCAGTGGCGAGACTCACACCCCACTTTCCAGACAGAAAGCAAGGCTGAGAGATGAGCTGCTGGCCACAGGGAGCCCCACCCCCACCTGCAGCACCAGCCCAGCTCGAGAGGGGCCTGGCCCTCCAGGCTGGCAGGGCTCAGGAAGGCCCCATGGGCCGCAGGACTCCTGCCTCGGGAGGCCTGGGGGTGGGAGGCACCCCTCCTCCTGTGTGCATGCCCCCTCGCCCCTCCCTGAGCAGGGTATTGGCCAGGGCTAGGCTGGAGGGTAGAGGCCGCCCCCTCACTGGCTGGCTGGCAGGAGCCTGCACCCCGGTGGAGTGGACACAGCTTCCTCCCCAAGGGCAGGGGTGGCCAATGGTGCTCAGGAGTGCAGGCCAGGCCTCTCATTGCTGTCTTGGGTCCCTCTGGACTCGTCAGGGCAAAATGCCCTCAGAGCAGAATCGCCCTGCTGGGGCCCCAGGTGTGCCACACGTGCTCAGGCTGTCCTGGGGAGAATACGCAGGCCTTCCAAAGGCAGCACCTCCAATTAACATCCAAAACAGAACGCTGTCTGGAGGTTGCACGGGCCCGTCCTGGAAGCTCTGCTGAGCCAGCGTGGCTCCTGGTCCTGTGGAGCTCCCACCCCCAAGCCCAGAGCCCTCCCCAGCAGCCAGGCATGGGGGGGCAGGGGCGCGGGGGAGCTGGACAGTGCGGGAAGACGCGTCACCCCTGTGCTCTGGGCCCCAGGACTGGGAGTACCCTCAGGCAAGCACTGACCTGCTGGCTCCAGGGGGGCTGCTGAGGAGCTGATAGGAGACCTGGGCACAGCGCCCGGCCTGGGTGTGGCTTCTGAGCAAACCCAGCCCCAGAGGCAGCTTAGGGGGATAGGGGAGGCTTCCCAGGAGACCAGGAAAAGGGTTGGGGTGGGAGTCAGTACAGCCCGGTGGAAGGTGGCCTGGGGGTGCACCAAGGGAGGGTTGTATGAGCCTGGGATGTGTGTGAGCCCGAGTGTGAGCCGGGCTGAGTGTGAGCTGAGGTGTGAGCCAGGCTGAGTGAGCCCAGGTTGGGTGTGAGCTGGGGCGTGTGTCAGACACGGGTGGGTGTGAGCCCGGGGTGCGTGTGAGCCCAGGGTGAGTGTGAGCCTGGGTGTGAGCCTGGGGTGGGGGTGAGACCGCGGTGGGTGTGAGCCAGGGTGAGTGAGCCCAGGGTGGGTGTGAGCTGGGGCGTGTGTCAGACCGGGGTGAGTGTGAGCTCGGGGTGGGTGTGAGCCCGGGGTGGGTGTGAGCCGGGTTGCGTGTGAGCCAGGTGCGTGCGTCTGGAGTGTGCGGGACCAGAGGCCAGGTCTGTGGTACAATGAGGGGACCTCCCTAATCAAGAGGATCTGTCCTCACCGGGAGCATGGGGCTTGGGGCACAGTCCCAGGATGGGCAGGGGTCTGCCAGCTCTACAGAGACGCCCCCACTTCCCAGCAGACGAGCTGTCCACGGTGCTGACGGGGGGGTGGTGCCCCCACCCATCTTTGGGGAGGTGTCCCCCATAACATCCTGGAGCACTGGAGAGACCTGGACGGGCAGTGGCCCACTCAGTCCTGCCCCTGGAATGTCAGGCACAAGGCCACACACCCATGTAGAGACCAGTCCAGACGAGGCCACCTGTGCCGTGTAGACAGATCAGTAGACGAGGCTGTGCAGAACGGGGGGCCTTTCCTGAGGAGCACATGGGAACCCTGACCTTCCCTGGGCTGTCCTCATGTCCTCCCACCGTTCCCAGGTCTCATGCAGGGGCAGATAGGGCACCAGGGGACCCACATATGGCCTGGCACTGTCACTGCCCCAAGAACTGGGCAGAAAAGGGATGTGCCCTTAGTCCGGATCACCAGGTGGTGGGGCAGGAGGGTGGGGCCCTGCTGGCTCTGGGCCTGCCCCATGGAAGAGGCTGGACATAGAGGGAAACCAGAGGCCCCAGGAGAGGAGATGGGCGTCGCCAGCTCAGAGCATATCCTGGGCTCAAGCGCCAAGCTGCCTGCAGGTGGAATCCCAGGCTGAAGGCCCAGTCTGGGGGTGCAGTTCCCTGAGCTGAGGGGAGGTGCTGGCACAACAGAGAAAATTGTCATTTAAAACCCAAACTGGGCCGGGTGTGGTGGCTCACACCGGTAATCCAACCACTTTGGAGGCCAAGGCGGGCGGATCATGTGAGGTCGGGAGTTCAAGACCAGCCTGGCCAACATGGTGAAACCCTGCCTTTATAAAAAATAAAAATAAAAATAAATAAATAAAAATAAAACCCAAACCGTAAGGATCATGAGGTCAGGAAATCGAGACTGGCCTGGCCAACATGGTGAAACCCCGTCTCTACTAAAAATACAAAAATTAGCCGGTCGTGGTGGTGCGTGTCTGTAATCCCAGCTACTCAGGAGGTTGAAGCAGGAGAATCGCTTGAACCTGGGAGGTGGAGGCTGCAGTGAGCCAAGATCATGCCTGCACTCCAGCCTGGCGACAGAGCGAGACTCAGTCTCATGAAACAAAACTGCCTGTGCTGTCAGCCTCTGCCTTCCAAGGACGGCAGACCGCTCCCGTCTGCAGGAAAATGAGCTGTTCTGAGCTCCCCTCGCCCCATGGGAACACGTTGAAGGGCACAGGGAGGGCGCGTGCAGAGTGGCTGGCACCATGCCAGGTGTGGCACCCCGTTCCATGGGACTGGGCAGGAAGGGGACCTACACCTCCAGCCCTGGGCCCCTCCACAACTGCCCCCGCCCCGGTGGGAATTTATTTCCCTAATTAACATTCCACAAAACATCCTCACCTCCACCAGACGGCAGGAAAGAGACACCCACTCACTGTCAGCAGCCTGGCTGGGCCACACACACTGTGACAGACAGTAGCCCACGATGTCACAGACGCCCCACACCGTCACACGTGGTCACACACACGCTCGAGGTCTCGCCCTGCAACCCAGGGTCCCCCTGGCCCTGAGGCCCCAGCATACCTCACCTGCACACTTGCAGACTCACACAGACAAAACGCACGCACGTGGTTAGTAAAATTACCTGCAATTTTGAAAGCGTTTCTGTGTAAGCTTTTAAAACATTTTGGCAGGAAAATTATAGCCTCGAAGCGCAAGAGAAAATGGGCCCCATTTGCTTGGAGATGGAACATCGAAGGCAGGATGAACGGGGCTGAGGCCAGGAGGGCCAGGGCCCTCTTTTGTCAAATGCAGCCAGAGGGGCAGCAGCTGGGGGTGTGGCCGGCAGCCTGCTGCATGCTACCAGGGTTCCACCCAGCATCTGGGCCTGGCCCCCAAAAACAGACAAAATCCCTCCTCGCCCGCTCAATACGAACAGAACAGGCCAAAAGGCCCCTCCCTCACTGCTGCCCCCAGCAGGCGAGACACAAGCTCAGGTGGGGTGACCCTGCCCCATGACAGCTGGGGAGACAGCCTAGGAGAGGGGCCCCCACCCCAGACCTCTTCACCACCATGGTCAGCCCGTCCTTCTCCCAGGCAGAAGCTCACACTGCCCACTGTCCACTTCTGGGGACAGGACCTGTTCCCAACACCTGCTTGAGACCACCCCTGGCCAATGTCCATCTGACACTTGTTCACCCTGATCTTCAGCAACTGACGGTTCTGCCAAAGACTAGGAACTCATAGCGGCCCAAGAGGCTTGGGGGGGGCGGTCCCCCAGCACCCGCCCAAGAGGCTCGGGGGGGCCGAACCCCAGCACCCGCCCAAGAGGCTCGGGGGGGGCCGTCCCCCAGCACCCGCCCAAGAGGCTCGGGGGGGGCGGTCCCCCAGCACCCGCCCAAGAGGCTCGGGGGGCGGTCCCCCAGCACCCGCCCAAGAGGCTCGGGGGGCGGTCCCCCAGCACCCGCC